TGTGAAATAATAGTTTGATATATGAGGGTTTGATGTCAAAGCCATTTCTCATGGTGGAAGAAAAAGATAAAGTTTACACAGTAAGAGTCAGGTTGATGTTTTAAATTCGGGTTATCACTCCAAAGAGCTTTCGTCACCAAATGACAACAACTCTAATGTTAGAACATTAGGTTAAGTAATGATACTTAAGCTATATTTATGAGTTAGATCTGCACTAAATGACACCAGCTATGATGTATTGCTTTGTCCCTTCCTCTTTTTTTGCCAAATGTATGGCTGAGATCTAGAGTATAATGTAAGGTGGGAGAATAATATCCAGCAACATTAAACACTCCTGAATACACACTAAATTACATTAAGTACTGTAACACACAGTGTAAATTCGAAACAGGTACGGTTTGTAATTTAGTTTAAGTACCGTCTCAAATTCACTTTTTAATTTCACAATAGATAGTTATATTGATTTCAGGCACTTTAAGGTCCGAATGAAGCTAATTTTTACTTAACTCATACAACATACAAGTGATCTATGGCTTTGCTGTGAGCTCCGTGCGAAATACATGAGACATTACTATTATTCTGACTGGTTAACTCAGGGCCATCAGTATACTATCAACGCTTCTATAATAACCGGTCAAAATTATATGGATATTAGTTTGCCGAAGTCTAGAGAAATTTTACCACACATCCCATCAAGTCTACACGTCATTAACAAACAAATGATTAACTGTTTAACTATGAAAATAAAGACCAGTCAATTTTTTCAAGTCATTTTATTCTATTTACAACCAATTTACCTGAGATTTCTTCTATTCTCATTATCTCGTAGCGCACAAATCAAACTTACACAACCACAGTCAATACTTGATCAAATAATTTGATTTCATTGTATAACTTATAATAAATGACAAAATAAGTAGCAGGAATAATTTATCTTTGTTGTCTGTTTCACTTTTCTTCCACTTTTGATAATTTGATTCGTGTTCTTCTCTTTCCTTTCCTTTCATTTCATTTCATTTCATCATCCATTTTAAACACATATTCCATAACAATGATTTTCTTACTGATAAATCCAAAATGTATATTAAATCATCCTTCAGGCAAGAAAAAAATTTTTCTGTTTCTTCCAGTTGATTAAACCGAAATAGGAATTATTATTATTATTATTATTGATGATGTGGAAACAGAATTAAACTTGGCTCTTTTATTACTTTTATGCATTTGAGTGTACTTTCTTGCACACAGATTAATTTATGTTGGAATTTCAAAATCTTGTCAATGTTCAATTTTTCTATGATTTGTTTGTTTTTTGTAATTCATTATAGAAACTAATTGAAGAAATGTAGTAGACAATGGTAGATAGTACCGAGTGAGGTCTCATAGTAAATTGTATACCGCAACTATTAAGTAGATTCTATAATAAGACATTTCCATAAACACTTAAAACATTATAAAATTTAGCGACAATGAAAGAAAACAAAACATTTTCAATGGCCAAGTCAATAAAACATTTCATGAAGATTTATGAGGGCGGTAATACTGAAACGATTTTAAGAGTAATATCATCCATTTACCGACTGATGGATTTTATTTAAATGGAATATAGAAATGTTGATGAAAGTTTACATGGAAGTATAAACCAAATGCTTAGGATAAGTGAGGTGTATCTGAAAATGTGGTTTGAAGTTTTCAAATATACAGTGATACATATATAATTCGTCAAATTCGTCTGTCAAAGAAATTCGATCAGACTGAACGTGTTTTGTGTATAATGAGTTAATAATACAAAAAATTTCCACATATTATATACATTTTAAACAAAATATTAAGATTTTCAGAGTTTGAAAAATATTCAAAAGTCAATAATATTTGAACTAACAATTGCTTCCAATAATCTCATGAACTAAATCTATAAATATTGTATTACAATGATCCAGTTAATGTGTACATAAATAAGTGAAGTAAACGAAGTGATAAGTTACCTAATGAGCTTTAACTTTGATTCAGGTTTAAATATATCCAATGATGTGCTCCTTATAAATTTGAAATATCTTTTAAGAATAAGTTATCGAAATTCGTTGTGATTTGTCAAGTTACAAAACGGCGAAAAATGAAACCAATCACATCCACTATATAGGAGAAATATTAAATTACATTACGGGGTTGAGAAGATTGATAAGTTACACATTTGAAATCATGAATCAATCATTGTTAGACCACCATTAGAACAACCGGAAGCACTGTACGGAAGTTTCGTCCTGGTATGAGACTTATCAGCAGTGCGCACCCATGATTCCTCCATCTCGCAGGATTCGAACCCGTGACCGGTGTGAACACCTGACCTCTGGACCACTGGGTCGGTATCTAATTTTGACCAATTCGGGATTTCAGATGCCTAACGTAACAGTCTTCTCAACCACGTAATTCAATTGCATGTGCTCACTAGTGAGGAATCTTCTCCGAGTTCTAGTTGAAAGTCATGACCAGTGAAGCCCAACCTGTTCGGGAGTTGATAGTAACTACCGAACACTGTGTATGAGGTTGCGCAGCTCCGTGAATTGATCGAAGTTAGACATTAACACCACGCCGGCTCAGTGGTCCAGAAGTTAGGTATTCGCGCTCAAGGTCCTTCATTCAAATCCTGCGTGGTGGAAGAGTTGTGGATGCGCACTGCTGAGGAGTTCCATACCAGGACGAAACGGCCGTCCAGTGCTTACAGGTTTCTAATGGTGGTCTAAATTTGATCTATTCATGATTTCAAATGTGCAAGTATTAAGTTGGCTTGTTTGAGATAATAATAATAAAAAAAGTATTGATGTTAATTTAAATATAACACGTTTAGGTGAATAAGAAATGTAATAAGAGAACTGCGTGGTTGATTCTGATAAGAAATTCATGTGAACTGGATAAAAATGATTGTATAAACTAAGAATGGAGCAAAACAAAGACAATTGTGATTAAAGATGTTTGAGGGCAGTTAACAGTTGATAACACAATTGCTTATATTTGATTGATTTTCAGCTTTAATTTAGTCAGTGTAAAACAATAGCGACAGATCAGTTAGTAGGTTCATTTTATCACTAAAGTTTCGTACTAATAACTTCTGTTTAATGATTCATAGAATTTTACTATTTTCTATTTTACTTATAAAGTAATAATTCGTCTAGTGTTATCATGGAATGCGAAATAAAATGCAAAAACAGTTGAAATGTAATAACAAGAATAAAAAAAACTGTTCTCAATTAGAAATATAGAGATTAGTGTTTTTACACATTTGAAATCATCAATCAATCATTGTTAGACCATCATTACAAACCGGGAAGCACTGGATGGCCGTTTCATCCTGGTATGGGACTGATCAGCAGTGCGCATCCACGACTCCTTCATCTCGCGGAATTCGAACCCGTGACCTTCGGTCTTGTGAGCGAACACCTAACCTCTGGAACGATGAGCCGGCATCTAACGGTGTTAATGTGTAACTCTGACCAATCTGCAGATTTTGCGTGACCTCACCCCATTTGTCTTTGGCAGTTACTTCCTACACCCGTTGGGGCTGAACTCCACTGGTCACGTCTTCTGACTAGAACTCTGAGAATTTCCTGACGAAGCTAGTCATCAGTGAGCATATTTTACGATATTTTCAATTAAAGTTATGGAGATTAATGTTTTTACACACTTGAAAAAATATGAAATATGGTCTTGTCATTGTGTATTTGTCAATTAAACGATTACAGTAAAACAAAATGAACTGACAAAATTAATATTTACAACGAGTCAACTTAGTATGATAATAATATGCACAGTTGGACTCTTTCTTCATTCTCTCCCTCTTCAAAATATTGAGAATAGATATAATAGAAAAAGTGATTACTGATGTAACAAGATGTAATTAATCGCGTTTATAAAACAGAAAAGTAAGTAAGGAGAAAGAAACAAAATGTTCAGTTTTTCTACCCTTAAAAATCAATTGATTGGACAATACAAACAAACAGACAAATATAGATTCATGTCATAGAATACAAAAAACATAACTCAGTCTCCGATACAACACACTCATAAACACAAACATCGACCGCTAAAATCAGACAAGTACGTACATATGTACATATCTGACTCTTCATGAATGATTAGTACATAAAGCTCATCAAAAAGTGAGTAGCATAAACGTAAGAATAAGCAATCAAAACTCATTCCTTTTTTTATTGTCTACCCCAACATAAAAAAAATTGTTCTTCATAAAAGAGATGTCATTTGGTACAGAAATAATCAGTTTACCATTTCATTTTACAGATATATTTATATATTTAAAACGACAAATTTCAATTGTGACGACTCTAATTCTAACTATTAACACATATATATATGTATATATATAGGTAAAGTGTTCGTGTTGCCGTTGTAGTACATACACACACACATTAAATTATATGAAGTATAAACATAATTAGTAGAGTTGTGGGGGATAGAAATATGAAACAAACAGAGTAGAGTAGTAACAAGAAATTATAAGAAATTAGTCCCATTTTCATTTTTTTGTAGAATTCATTTCAAGATTTCTTCCATGTTACTATTTATTACTTTAACTCCGTGTATATAGGATTTGATGGTGTTTAGCTGAGAAAAATAATAGTAAGATCATCATCATCAGTTGCAAAAAACATACACAGACACACACACACACACAATGTTCAAACATTTTATTTTTGTTAAATGAACGTGGAATATGAATGAAATCTGTTATACCATTGTCTAAATTGCACATTACCATTGAAGAACTAACTAGTGAGTTCAACGCTTTGTTACACTGTTTTTTTTCGGAACAGAAAAAAGCAATCACCATTTATCTATCTTTATACACATTGAAGAAATAAATTTTAATAAATTATCTTCTTAACAAGCAAAAAAATAATTCTACAATTCCTAATCAACTGACTTCTTTCTAACAATTTCCAGCTGATTGCATTTAAAGTTGCATTATTTAATATTTCAAAAAGACAGAAATGTTGGACAAATTGACACATTTTAAAAATTTATTAAGTACCGATGAGAAACGATCATCAGATATTATGGATTTATCTAGTAAGATTTCATCAAAAACTGATTCATGGAATTTTGACAATTTGTTCACTTTAAACTTACATAATCAATCTGATTATCATCATGCATCAGTGTCATTTCTACATAATCATCATGATCCTACTAACGCAAATGAAAACAGTCAGCTATTATCCTCGTCGTCAGCGAAATCACTAGCCTACTGTACACCGAATCCAGTGCCAAATTTACCAGAGAATAATCAAGTTCACTTTTTAGAATATCGTGGTGCACATTTAGCAACATTCACAGTGAATGGACGTGATTTAATTTGTTTGCCTCAAGCATTTGAATTATTTTTAAAACATTTAGTCGGTGGACTACATACAGTTTATACTAAATTAAAACGTCTTGATATTATACCAGTTGTGTGCAATGTTGAACAAGTACGTATACTAAGAGGCTTAGGTGCAATACAACCAGGTGTGAACCGTTGTAAATTGATTGGACCACAAGAATTTGACATCCTATATGCTGATTGTACAAATTCAAGGTAAGCTGAAGTTGATTTTTGAATAAGATTGTCAAATGAATACATTTGTCATTCGATATGTTTTTATCAATGGTTTATAATATATATATATATATATATATATATATAATTATTGCGTACTTATGATTTTTTTAACTTTATCAGTAACTGATACATCGAGAAGTGATAACAGATATCCTGTTTGAGGGTAATTAGATTCTTTACAGACTAGAACTAACCTTAACATAATTAGTGCTTAAACGCAGCATACAATAAAGGAGCAAGTTCTAATTAGGTAAATATTAGTCAAATACAGTACAGGTAAAGTATGCCAGGCATGTAGTGACTAACATGATGTAATTTATCATTACAAACGTCGGTACTTTTTTGTCATCTAATGTCCATTGTACTATGACGTAATTATTATTGAATGATACGAGTCAAATAATTGAGTTTTATGACGAATATACTGAAGTTAGAAATATTAACCATTCAACTTTAATTCAGTGTTTAAAATTACAGCTGTCGCCATTTGGTCAGAAAGGTTTGGACTAGACATGAGTCTAAGGGACCCTAAACGAGGACTAGATATTCTCTAATCCTTCCTGATTTTTAATAGTTCCCCTACTTATTATGATGGGATTTATATTACCTTAAGTATAAGGTTTTTATCGCATACTTTCATCATCATACTACAGGCAGTTAAATCTACAGTTTTCAGGTTGAGTATGTTGGTAACTGCATAGCTATATACATGTCAGAACTGTTAACAACTAATGGGTCAGGAAAGAGAAATTGTTTGTGTCTCAGTGACATCATTTTCTTAGAATGAAGGAAATCAATACAATGTAGGTGATATACACCAGTTTTAAGTCATTCACAGTTTATTGTAAATGTTGAATATTATTTCAATCGATTTTTGTTATTGGTTATGTATTCTGTTAAATGTTGGTTGTGTAAAGTATTTGATAAACTAAAGCTTTTTGTCTACTTAGACGAATATATAATAATAATAATATCATCATAATCTCTAATTTAACAAAATTTTCTATCTGTGGTCATTGGTTGTAGACTGTTTTGATTATACAATCTAAATATTTTAATTATTAGTTTCATACACTTAACCGATAACAGTTCAGAATGTTACGTTTAATTCAGTTTTAAATCTAACATCAAACTATTTATATAATCATGTGCTTTTTCATGACTAGCTTAGAATTGTGTTTCTGTAAGTCTCAGATCAGAGCTATTGATGACCAGAGTTAGTTATATCACTGACACCTTTAGATAATGTTTTTAATATACTATAAATTGACTAGAGTTATCAATGGTTGATTCAAACTGAGTGATTTCGTATTGTTAAACTTGTTTAAAAATCTAATTGTTTTGTATTTAATTTCGTGTACAGAAGTAGTAGAGTACTTCTGAATTGTTTTCAAATCACGATGAAACAACTAGTTAAGATTACCAGATTTTCAACTAATTCTTAAATGATATTCTTTCGGGATGGAAGTTACCTTCAAGAAGCTCTAAGAAGATTCGTAACCTTATACACAAAATGACGAATGAAACCGAGTCAATGGGCACTAGTTATTCGTTTTTTATGGTATACTATAGTATATTAATTGCTTATATCATCCATGAATAACATCTATTACCTCTGTGGAATTACACAGTGGAAACAAGACTTCAATGTTTTAGTTCCCAGCAAGGTAGTTTATAGTATGTAGAAATTTAAATGGCCTTTATTATTAGAACATCTTTTCTTAAATTTTCAAACTGTTGAATACAGCATTTTAAAACAAAAGTTATTCAGTAGAAAAATGAATATAATGAATAAATATTATCAATAATAAACAAATATATATATATATATATATACATAGATAATTAATGACTTTTCTAGAATTGTTTTTCATTAATTTTCGACAATGTTCAATATATTATCAATGTTCAAGTGTTAAGGTCAAATAAAAAATTATAATAATATTTAATTTCCTGTTTTGTTCGTGTTTTCTCCTCTTTTCTACTTCTTTCCAGCGTGTTCTCTAACAACATTAAGAAAAAAAGTAAACACATCTTGTGTTTAAAATATTATTTATATCTTTCCATTTCCATCTCTTTCTTGCCTGTTTTTCCCCTGGATTTATTGTTTCTTTTCATGAGATGAGATTATGAAATGAACAATATGATATTAAGAAAATTAATTTATTTATTTAATACCTATCTATTAAAGGTATATTACAAAGTGAAATAATGTCACACATTTAATTGTAAATAAAACAACACATCAATATTTTTCATTTTTTTCTTAAAAAAAAGTCGAAAATAAAACGATATTTGAAATGAATTAATTGCATGAAAAATTCCAAAATTTTTTTTCTTTTAAAAAAATAATTCTTTATTATTACAAAATCATGTGAAATGAAATAGGATGCAAACAAAAGTTGTGAAATTATTCAACTTGTCGAATAAATATGTGTACATACATCGATTGTTAAATCTTTCAACCAATTAATCAGTGTCAAACGGATTAGTTTTTTTTATTCATAATAATTCTTTGATACTTAACCTTCAGTTTGTCATCAGTTATATCTACATATATATATATATATATATATATATATATATATATATATATTTGTGAAACTTATTTTAGTCACTATAAAATTATAAATTAGTTTTAGCTGTCAGCTTAGTAATAACAAGCGAGAAATGTTTTCAAATGTAAAGCTTGTGAGCATTTACAACTAAACGAGAACAAAGATGGTGAAATATACGATATTTGAAATAATCTGCACTCTTAATAGTAGGCCAATTAAACAATTCCAGGAACTTTAGATGATTACTCTTGTTTAGTATTTCATCTATGAATGATAGGAAATAATTTACCTTAAAAAAATGTTGGACATTTTAAATGAAATAATTAGTTTTATGTAAAAGAATTTACCAGTGAGTATTGCCATATTTGGAAGATTCAAAATGACAATAAAAGTTTCTGTTATGCAATTAATCAAAACTTTACATTATAGAGGTATGCTGACATTTTTATTAAAAGGATATGATGATTGTAGATGCTGTTTCAGGTGCATTGTACATACAGTCAGCCAAAATATTTTTAATCAACATACTGAAATACATTTTTAGCACAATTAATGTTTTTCTTGAGCAATTATTAGTGTAATTAATTTCAGTTAACTTTTCCTTCAGAAAAACGTACACTTGCATAATGTTTCTGTGTCTGAATAAAGATAAGTCATGATACTGGTCGAATGAGTTTCATAATACTTTTTTCCTAAGATCAAATTAATTGGAAATTCTAACCACAGGTTGTTTGACAAGTAATTCAGGTGTTTAGAAATATTTACCAAGTTGATATGTCTATTGAAGCAGTATAAAGTAAAGAAAAATCTATAGGTTCGTCCCCCTATATATATTCACCTTTAATAAAGTATTAAACATAAATAAATTATCAGTTAGAGTTTTGGAGATTTATGTTTTTACATATTTGAAATCATCAATCAATCATTATTAGACCACCATTAGAAACCTGGAAGTACTGGACGGCCGTTTCGTCCTGGTATGGGACTGATCAGCAGTGCGCATCCACGACTCCAGGTTTCTAATGGTGGTCTAACAACGACTGATTGATGATTTCAAATGTATAAATCAACAATTTTAACAATCACCAAAGATTGCCAAACGAGTGTTTTGCTTTGTTGAATAATTTCATGATAATAAGTGTGGCATATGTTCATGTGAAATTTACTTAGTGAATAACTATTGTGACAGAATAATAGTGGAAACTAAACTAATGTCAGTATACACAATTAACAGATACATCCCTTTAATTAGATGCATTACTTTGCATCTTTTCTGAATTTATTTGTTAATAAAAAATGAAAGTAACTAGAAAAACATAAAAGCCAGTGATCATTTGAAATTTGCTTCATCCTAATCATAAACTTATCTTTTGGGGTGGAGTTTTGGAGGTTTGTGTTTTTACACATTTGAAATCATCAACACTTCTCCTACCCTTTCTTATTTTTTTCATATTACGTTAATTTTCTCTCTCATTTATTTACAATTATCACCTTATGTCTATTTGTAACTTTTATTTAATTGACCTTTTATTAATCTGCATATAAAATGCCTTGACAAGTAAATATGCGTGACCAGATAGTTCGAAATATATATTGCGCGCAAATACATCACATTTTTTCAGATCAATTACGTCTTCTCACTGTTCCATCAAAATAATTCAGTTAATCCAAAACCCTTAGATCTTACAGTGAACACAATCTCGTTCATTCATTAAGCTCAAGTTCAAATATTTACGATATTGAGTGATGATAATTTTATGTTATCATAAATATATATCTCAATAGTGACATAATTCAATTTCTGACTAGAATTCCATATAAAATATAAATAGCCACCAGTTTATTTTCTTATGGCTTTGTAGGAAATGTAAAGAGCATTTATTTTTAGAAATGGATATCTTTATGGTGTTTGTGAGAAATTAACCTTCTTTCAGTTGAATAAACATGATCCTGTTATGTAATAATAATGTATCACTAACACGATATTGAAATGTTAATAGAACGCTCAACCGAACATACTGTTAGTCACAGCAATAGCTTACCTTTAAAAATGGAAAAAATAGTTCATTAGTTTCCTAATCAATGTCTGTTTGTAGAGTTGGGTAAAGCTGGAAATCTGTAGAGATTTTGTAATTTGCTTTAGTCACTAATATCATAAATAACAGTGCACCGCCAACGTCAGTCCAGCGACTTAATATGCTGATTAATTTGTAATGTTTAATTAGGTAGTGTCAGTTGGGTTCGATTTTGAATTCTCACAAATTAACAATAATCAAATAATCAAGCCTTCCATTTCATGTGTAATATCGCACACAAATACATGATAACTTAGTAAACATATGAATATGTTTAGTTGTATGTTTATTACATGAAATCTTATATCCATTTTTCTAAAAAAAGACTAGAGGAAATTAACTTCACGACAGATACACCAGTATGCCCAATAATATCTAGTACATTAAGAATATATCTCATTGTATTCGAAATATCCTTATTTGTTCTGTCAATAATCATTAGTAAAACATACACTTCGTTGACATGTTAGATAATCAAGAAGCTCTGAGTATTTTTTCCATCCTAGTTGTTGGGGATGTTAGATCCCCAGAACTCGCTTCATAAATGCCTTATCTTGGATTTCAGGTTTGCGAGCATGGGCTAATCAGTTGACCTTGAGATTTCATTTCCCACCTGGAAAATCCATGGCTGTGTATTTTAGTGTACTATTTTCGTAACCGTCCCAAGGACGTTTCTATGATATATAAATAAACGAGAGTTGTGTGCTTGGTTGTATTGTGATTGCTGGGTGTTGTAGAATATACTTTCTACGCTTACCAAGTCTTCTGTTTTGCAGTTTGGGATTCAAGGTAGCCTACCTGGACGCTGGTTCATTGTCTCGTTCGCGTTTATCGACTAAGGTGAACTCGTAATAGCTTCAAGCGTACCAAGTGACGAGCATAACACAAGTCAGCACCCATCAGTGAGGCCTACCTATAATCTTGAATGAACTCATATTTCGTATCGGATATGAATCAGTGTCACTTTATTTCATAGTTCCAGACGTTATCTACTAGAGGACGCGACTGACTTCCTGTATATAGTTGACTGATCACTGAACAGTGACTTGTCTTGTGATCAATTAATTGCAAAAATTCACACTTAAACGTTCTTTTATTATGAAAACATTATTTTTATTTACAACTGTACTACCTATAAATATGTTTCAAAAGATAAAGATATTTAACTCATGCTCATTCTCAATAGACTGGAAACATTCCATTATCAGACTAACTATATAATTCGTCAATTATTCAATCGTTAATTAATTTTTCTTTTCAATGCATTGAATTCAATCCGTGATAATAAGAATAAGAATAATAAATGAAAGATTATTTTTGTTCCATAGTTTATATATATATATATATATATATATATATATATATATATATATATATATATATATATATATATATATATATATATATATATATATATATATATATATATATAAAGATTAATATTTACAAAATAGATGAGAATTTCATCAGCTGTTCGAGAAATGTCCTATCTGTATGTACGTATGTACATATATGAGTGTGTGTGTGTGTGAGTTGATGCTTGTACGCTTACAAACTATCAAGTGGATATGTAATAATAAGTAGGTAAACAGATAGGTGAATAGATAAAATTGACTAAATACCCTTTTTTTCTTTTTTTTTTGAAATTTATTGTCATTATTATTATTTCACCATTTATTTATTCATTTATTTTATCTTGAGAAGTAAAAATTTTTTTTCAAAAAGAAATAATAATATTAATAATTCGTATTTTATAGCATGAAATGTGAAAATATCATTTTTTTGACAGGATTAAAGCTGTTTGTTTGCTTGTTTTTTTTGTCAGCAAGGTGTTATAAATAGACGAAATGAAAAACTGCATTCCTCTACTCCTTATTCTTGTTTGTGTTCACCAAGACGTCATCTATGAATAAGCACCTTTGTTCGTTTGTTTGTTTGTTTTTTAACCGAACACATTTAAATTTGAATTGAAAAGCGAATACCAATGAGAAATAACATTCTAAAGATAAATAGTAGAATGCTTGACTTTTTTCTTATGAGAACATGAAAGTCACAAAGCATTAAAAAAACACAAAAACGGAAGGATTTTATAACTGGACACGAAGCAATCGAATTAAAATACATCACATTGACGAGAGCAAACGAAAAAAAAATGTTACAACTGTTCATTCTAAAAACGACTTACGAATAAGGAAAAGTCTTAGCCGTAGAAGAAAAATATGCGGATAAGTGTTGAAGAAAAAGTGAAATGACAAAAGCTCAAAATGATACAAAGAGAAAACAAAAAAAAACTGAATAAAAATTAAGCAGCGATCAAATTAAATCATATCAATAAGAATTTTTAACTAATCAATAATTTGACATTAACATGTAATTGTATCAAAGGAGATTTTACAACTAACGAAAATAAAGAATATTTGTTTAAGTTTAGTGAAAGATTTTGCAAATGTTTTCAATTTTGTCAACCGTCTATAGTTCAAACAAAAATCCATTTAAAAGAGCAACTTACAAAATACCTGTTTAAAAATCCGTATCATATTCAACCATATATATATATATAAATATATATATATATATATATATATATTTATATATAAATATGTATATATATATATATAATCCAATTAAAGCGGTCAGGTTTTAAAGTAAAATAGATCGTGTCAAATTGTATGTATATATTGTATATGAAGTAAGAATTACGTTTGACTTATTTTATAAACAATCCTACTTTCATATTGCAATAACTTGACAATATGCATTTCGCTTTACAACCTGATCACTGCGTGAATTATTGATCTGGGGATATAACCCAAGGAAAATTTATCGTAAAGAATATTCTTCTTCCATATATGTTCGTATTTTAATAAAATATCTACTTACTGAATAATTGTAATAATAAAAGTATTTTAAATAAATCTTTTTCTAAATTAAAAAAATGAAATTATCAATCTTCTACCTAATGCATGACTACTTTCCTTTAAGAAATTAGTAATATCTTAAAATGTTCATCTTGAAAGTGATATTTCTTAGACAATATATCAATATGATAACATTTCGCTGATAAATGATCAGCTGGCACCTTGCAGTTTGTGTGAAATATTATGTTTAATCTATATTCCAAAGGATTATCGTCACTGAGTTATTGATAAATGAATGATATTTAAAAGCTCCGACATTGGCGGTTATTACTGGTACTAAGTGACACACAGTCTCGTCTTGTCAGACAGACAGACAGATACAACGCAGAACTTCGTACGTAAGTACATCAGTTCAGGTTGCCATACCACATCAGTACACAGACGTAACTGTCAGTTCAAATCCAATAGTTGTAGCGATAGTAGAAGTAGTAGCAGTAATGGAAAAGATTAGGGAGCGAAGATATGATTCGAGAAGTATAATTCAGTAAGATAAATTTAGAAGGAGAAAGATAGAGATAATGAGGAATTCAGAAGGTAAGAATTAGAGAGAACACACAGAGTGGATGCACCTGAGCCATTGCGAACGATTCTGAGCCATGTCTCTCGTCTTATCAGTTAATAAGAGTACAATTTAATGTAAACTACATCTGATGTTGATTTCAAATAGTTTACTTACTTTAAAAACACTGTAAGGTTTTCAAGTTATCTCCTCTTACCTTCACATATGTGTCAGTGAAGATATTTTGGTTTTACTTAGAATTAGTGTTACTGCAGTTTGTCTGACAGTTAACATGCTAGAATGCAATGGTTTCAGTTTTAAAATCCAGTCAATTAGTGTTAGATTGTTATCGATTTGCTTAGATTTATATAGTGATAACGCTTTTTTTACTTTGAAGTTCTAGGCCTGGCCGTCCATCAAAACGTCTCGCTGCAATCGAGACACCTGTCCTATCCTCTGCTCTTAGATCCCGTCAATCAACTACCTGTTACAACAATGATTCAGGTGAATCCACTCCAAAACAATCACGCAACAGTACAAGTGAAGATGAAAACAGCGGAAATAACCAGTCACAATCAGAGCAAACCATATGGCCCAACTCTCAAAGCAATATTTCAGCTTATTCGTTAATGAATTCATCCAAATTTGTTTTACCTCTACTAATGAAAGAAAATGTGTTTGGACATTTGGAAACCGTTTATTCGTCTTTTATGAAATATGCACTTTCAAATTATCAAAACAGATTAGAACATGAACAAAATTCTTGTGAATCGACGAATTTAAAATCTGTCTATGACAGTGTAGAAAAGAACGTGGCCGTTTCATCCAGTGATGTACCGCAAGTATTTTCGGATAATATAATGACTCATTCTGATCGGCATTCTACTGAAAATCTACTAGACGAAGACACAGTGAGCTCACCTACAGAACCAAAAACGATGGAAAATTCTAATCAACTATCAAGTAAATTCAACTACTTTATCGATTTTTCAAAAGCAAACAATATTTATTTGAATTAAATATGGTTCTTCTTTAGTCAAACAAAACTACCTTAAATAATGGTAATAATAACAATCATAAGGATAGCCTAAGTTTTAATAAACTGTGATTTACTAAATCTTCAAATTTATCGAATGTGAATGAGAAATCCCTTATTGATGTAACTTATATCCTATTTGTCTAACTAAAAAAAGCATACTAGAGTAATTCACATAAGAATCGTGCATAAATAAATGAAATGTAATTCAGATTGAATCGTATAATCGCTTTTGTAAGTTGTAATATGATTTTGTTCGAATAGAAATATATACCTTCTTCCGAAAGTAACAGGGATATCCTGACACTTTGAACTACAAGTCTTTTATTTTAACAATTATTATCTCATTTGAATATAGATTTTAACGCCTGACTTAATCACATGGCTACAGTAGTTTATTGATTTTCCCCGTCGAAGTGATACCTAGATAGCTGTTAGTCGTTATATTATTTGATAGAATCAGTAAGGTGGTTCCATTTCTTAAAAACTATGCAAGGCAAGTGGTTATTTCTACAACTGAACAACATCTGGAACTCTAAACTACTATCAACCAACACTTAAATTATAATTTTCAAGACATTTCTACTGTATGAGGCAGAAACTTGGAGAACGACCAAAGTCATCATCTAAAAGATACAGGTGTTTATTAACAGTTGTCTAAGCAAAATTCTTCAGATAAGTTGGTCAGACACTATCAGCAACAACCTACTGTGAAGGAGATTCCAGTGGAGGAGGAAATCAGGAAGAAGCGGTGGAAGTGTTGAGGACACACATTGAGGAAATCACCTAACTACGTCACTTCACTTGGAAATTTCAAGGACAAAGGAAAAGAGGAAGGCTGAGGAACACACTACACCGAGAAATAGAGGAAGATATGAAAAGAATGAACAAAAACTGAACAGAACTGAAAAGAGAAGTCCAGGACAAAGTAGGTTGGAGAACACTGGTCGGTGGCCTATACTCCATTGGGGGTAACAGGCTTAAGTAAGTAGTAATAATTGATTAGGGTCAAAAATGAGTTTATTTCTCTGGCTGTTTAGAATAGCAATAAATGTGGGTGGCTTAAAATCAACTGAATATAGTGTCAGTTAAGTGAATCATATCATAACCCATTGTTCAACAGTAAAGTTGATGATGTAGATCACGAAAAAGAGTCTAGATTTATACGTAAATAAGGTAACCAGAATTTGAAAATGAAAGACTTGACCACTATTTATGGCAGAAAGAGTTTGAATGAATTCTAACTCGCCTAAAGCGCTTACTTGAGTCTGACAACAGTTAGGTATAAACTCTGAAGAGTTATAATTACTGGCCAAGTTCAAGTCTTTATAAAACTTTCGATTATTGCTTCTTTTGATTCCATTCAGATGAACAATTCGGAGGTTGTCAATGTTTTGAAAGTATTTCTTTCTTTACTTTAAGTTTATATTCAATTTTACTCAGTTACCACAGTACTTTACAGTTTGGTTAAATGCTGTATAATCTCTTCATCTTCAACTGATTCATGTGATAGAATAAAACAATCACCGATTAAGTATTTTTTCTAAATCTGAGATTTTTATTTCACTTTAAATGCTGAAAATGTAGTTATATGTGAAATTTTCTTATTCATATCAACAGATTATCAACAATTATTTGATTCTAAATTGCAGTACTTTTTAAATCAATTTATTGGAATGAATAGCCATTGGAAATCTGTACATCATTCAGTAGATACATTTGAATCAACAATGAATGCTTTGAATGCACAAATTAAAATCAAATCAACTGAACAATTTGATCAGCATCTACATCATTCTAACTGTTCATTTAATATGAATCAATCAGAATCTTTAAAATGTGACAAATCCAGTCAACCATTTCAAACATTATATCCAGACGATTCATTCAAAGAAAAAGTTCCAAATGTGAAACCATCAACATCTATAAATGATTGTTACAATAATGATGAAGAATCGTTTCATGAATCGTCACATCCTCATATTTTCAATTCGTTAGGATATTTAAAAAATTTAAAGTTGAATAAACCAGCCTGTCTGAATTTCTCAGTAGAACAAATTAAAATGGTGAGTTTTCTCCTTATTATCGCTAGTGTTTAAAGTGTTATTCAATTTGGTTTTGCCAATATCTATGTTGCTATATTACATCTCTGCTTAAACCGACATCTTTCTGTATGTCTTATACACAGATATTACTGATAAATGAACAATGATCTCAAAACAAAACTCATACACATATAAACGTAGTTTAAATGTGGAAGGTGTTAAATTCTGGTCTATAAAGGATTTCCTGTTGAGGGATGTCAACCATGAAATATCAGAGGAATATTATTCTGTAATTGTGCCTCTCTGCATAAAGATTAGTTGGCATACTTCAAACAAGTTACAGTACACCTGGTTGTCTAAGTAGTGATATAGTATTAAAAAATAGAGAAATAAATATTTTCTATAATGCAGAGTTGTTTTTGACTTGTAGAACTAAAAATATAGATTTTTTTCTCAAAGATACATCTTGTTGATGTGAACAACTAAACTTATTCTTTGAATTTCATGTTGGTTCTGTAAGAGTAGTCGAACATTCCAAAATGCATTCGAATCTTGAAAATAAAGGATTGTCTAGTTTATACTGGGCTTTTTTTTCGTGGAATGTTGACGTATACATTGATCAATAATTTATTTTCACTTATTACTAAACTGTTCCAAATGATAATACAATATGAACAAGCGTAAACTTATTGCAATTATAAAAAGATAATTTATAAGTTTAACCAATAAAGTTAGTTAACAATGAATTCTACGTTTCTGTTTTACATTTTCCATGTGATGGTACTTCGTTTAGGATTCGAAAAGCGCCACAATGTCTGAATCCAATGAAAATGAAGATGATAAGGAGGAAGAACAAATTGACACTCCACAACGTCATTCAACTGATTACAAAAGAAAAGAAATAGCACTAACAAGAAATAATGATAACTGTAATGATCTGCATGATGATCAACATGATGATTCGGATGAAGATTATATTTGTAACAATCATTGTGACAATGATGAAGTGACCAAGATCAGTCATAATAAAGACATGTCGAAAATGATAACCATATTGAATTACTATTATTGGTGGTTACAATATATGTCAAATGAATTTTCTCGTGAAAAGCAATCAGTCATTAATGAATCGAAAGAATCAGTATTTAATAATTTTCCTTCATTTGGTTGTTATACCAAGTAAGTTGACTGTAGGATTATGTAATAACAACTAAAAACCAGATATTATATCGAATACTTTCATATCTCATCAGTATTGATAAAGTAGTAGAACTATTCAGATATAAATAATGTTCCATAAGATAAGTAAGCAATGAACTTTATCAAGATCTATCATACGGCTGCTATGCATCTATAGAATTATTACTGTCAATGATTTTATCAATAGTGTGAATGGCTGCTTTTGTTACGCATGCACGTAAACACATCAACTTGATGTTCTTGAACTATTACGAGTTTACCTTAGTCGGAAACGAGAGCGAGGATCCGGCCACATGACATGCTACTCTTATCCGAGTGACGATCATAAAATTGACCAGTAGAAATTATCCAGTAGGTAGTGATCAATAATTCTCTTAGGATATTGGATAAGTATTCTAACAGCTAAATGTATCTTCAACGACAAAATGGAACTACATCTAGTTATTTCTTATTACTGTAATAAAGTATTGTAGTTTCTTTACTAATCAATAATTTATGTTTACTTTCTTTTAACTACTTTAGTGATGATTTATTGAAGCAGTAATCAAAGTCTTTGGAAATGAACACTTTTGGCTTTACTATTTAATTAAAAAAGTGGTGATAACTTTAAACATGATCAGTAATGGACTTTGCAAGACGAAGTAGAGTTCATATTGCGAAGATATGATGCAAACGCTTAAAATACATGTATCAATGTAACATGGAAATATCTTCCAGTGTTATATATATATATATATATATATATATATATATATATATATATATATATATGCATTTATATATCATAAATATAATATAATTTTTTTACATCTCAACTGCTTCCACTTTTATAGAAAAAAATAACCAAGTGTGGCGTGAAACTCGTTTCGTTAAATGTACAGTTTATTCCCTAATTGTAAACCTCATTATGCTATAAATAAATATACTAATCAATCGATAGCAAGACCAACATAGTTTTTAATGGATAGATCTATGTAAACATCATTGGTAATTTGACAACCGAATCTTTGGATTCTGCAATCGAATTTCTCACAGAATACTGTACATTAATATAGCGAAATAATAATGAAAACTTGTTTTGCTCATAGATGTTAGTTGGAAAATAGAGCTAAATATTGTGGTTGTAGAGCTTTCATTTTTCGACTGAACAACATCACCAATACAAACTTCAAGTAGAAGTGAAGTATTCGAATTTGTCCACATTTTACATGCAGCTTGTTCTGTTAACCTCGATCTTGATTGGTTGTTGTTGTTTGCACCTTTGTTTTGATTGTATCCCTGCTTTGATCTGATTCTTGATCCTATGTCGCCTATGATTTTTCTGATTGGTTGATAAATTGGGTCGATGTCAATGTGTTCGTTGGTAGCTGATTGACTTAAGAGCCAGGCCCCTAAAAATTCTCTATCGTTCTTTGTACTCCGTTCTATCCAGTATTTCAGCATTGTTCCAATCGAACTTACGTCCAAGGTTGTCCGTATGTACTGAAATAAGGGAAGAAACGTCATGGCATTTAACTGCTAACTGGTGATCACGCAAACGAAGCTGAAGAGGACGTCCGGTTTTTCCTATGTAGTGTTTTCCACAATCTGAGCAGTTTATTTTGTAGACAGTATTTGATTTTCCTTCTTTTATTATTTTCTCCTTTGGTCTACACCTATTCCAAATGGCTTCAGTAGTCGTGTAGTAATTTTCGATATGCCTTTTATCAATGGTAGGATGATCCGTTTGTTGGTTCCTGTACTTGATTTCGCTTCTGTTAATGGTTTCAGTCGATACTTTTTGATGAAGTCGTATGGATAGCCATTCTTTTGGAGGATCGTCATCACCGTTTTTTTGCTTCATACGTGCTGCAGTTTGTCTTTACTCTCTTAAATAAAGTTTGTTCTCAGTTGATTCTATGAGTTCTTGGGTTGTTGCTACTATAGTTGAGAATTAGATCTACGTGGGTCGGCTTCCGAATACTTGACTTCGAATACTTCACTTCTATCTGAAGTGTGTGCTGATGATATTTTTCAGCAGAACAATGAAAGCTCCGCAACTAAAACATCCAACTCAGAGAATGAAACTCCACCACCTCAAAATCATATTAGCCTTGGCAAATAGTTTTTAATCACAGAATATTGTAGACTGTAAAAAGACTGTTGAGCATTACTTCGTGTGTTGCACAATCTTTCATGATCCATTTGCTACGATGTAATTAATGACATTTACACCAAAACTTAAATATAAATTTGTGATTTTCACCTGATGTCACAGATTAATTGAACTTTAATATGTTGTCTGTAGTAACAAAAGGATTATTTTGAATTTACATGGCGAAATTACTGAAAATAATAGTTCACTTAAATAATCTTGACTGTTTAATATTTTACGTTAGTTTTTAAATTTTCAAATATAAATATGAAAACATCAATGTCATAATTTGTTTCTTTAATTTGGAGAATTGCTCATAAATCCTACTGTGACAGGCATTATCAAATTAAATACTAATTTAATCGTTCTTGTCAACAGAATTTAGTTATAAGATTGATAAAAATTTTCACAAAATGAGGATTGATGATGAAAATATTCAACTTAAAAAGAGTGATTTTAAAAAGTGCTAAATAAAATTAATAAGTTGGTTCAGTTTATTGATTTGCTTTTAATAATCTTGACATGAACATGCCTGAATAATCCCGATGGTTAACTTTAAAGCAGAAAGTTATAGTGCAATATGGTTAGCTAAAAGAGACTCATTTGTCTTTTTACTAAATCAATGCAGAAAGCTTGAAACCAGCTTAACATTTTTTAGTATACAAAATATTGACATAAATATGAAGGGTACTCATTAACGGCAGTTGAATTTCGGCCTATCACAAGTAGCTGTTAATCGAATATCAGGAAATTTAACAACTGGACGATAGTATATCATTTAGAAAGTAACCTGAACATTTGCTTGTATATAAAAGACTGTTAGTGATGGCTTTTTGTTTTCCGAATGTTTATATTCAGGATTAAATCTCATCAGCTATTACTGTAGTATATTCATATAGTGCATCTGTCTCTATAATATCAACTACCGTGTCAAAGATTATTTAGAAAGGTTGGATCTTTCCCAGAAGTAAAAATACAGGATGTTCGTTTCATCAATTTCAGGACTCGTCAGTTGAGTATACCTCCATCCCATTGTAAGTGTTTACATAGGAGCTAGAACATGGTACCTTATCCTACTGAGCTACTAAGTTTAGATAGTCACTAACTTGTTGAAGTGGTATGATATCTATATAATTATAAGTTAGGTTTTGATTTGTTGCGTTGATCATATTAGGGACCGAATCTCTGATCTGTCCTAGTTGAAATGTGTTCGGATGTGAACATCAATGTGGAATTCTGGGACTTCATGGAGTGAATGCGCGGTCTTAGTCCCAATGTTGACTACGTTTCATGTATCCTAAATAGTCATGTTGTTTTGTACAATTAACAATTCATTAAAAATAACGGATGGTCACATATAAGACTGAACTTTCCATATCATGTTTGTTTTATGATAGTTAAGTCAGAATGATAGCTTAGTAGAGGATAAATAAGAACGTCGTGTATAACAATATTTGTTAAAAAAATGGATTTGGTGGTGACCATTTTTCCCCACATGATCAGACTTAATTTAAGTGAATTAAAAACTTCTAGTTCATAATTAATGAGACGATTCAAAATTCTTAGAGAGGGAAAATCATTCCGAATAAATTATAAAAGCATCATCCTTAATTTTATAAAGAAAACACTGACAAACTCAGTAGTGTATGTGAAATCACTTACACTGTCACAGTAGAAATTTGGTGTTTCAATGAATATATTTAACATCGTCACTATCTACATTACTATGTACATTTGAATTTATAACATTATTGTTTGGAACTTCAGGAAGTGAACGACCATTTGAAATTTAAACCGAAAATGAATCATCTGAGTTAGTTTTACATGTGATACAGATATTCTCCTTATTAAATATGATGAGTATAATGTCTGATAATGTAGAACTTATCAAAGTGTGAGTTTATATTTGAGAAACAGTGTCATGTAACTAATACCATTTCTTCTTTTTCTATCATCCTCAATAACATTTATTTGTTCTCTACTATTCATTTGGAAAAATCACAAGTGAATTAATTTTAAATTTTTTTCATTCAGGCTGCATACTTCATCATTTCCTTCTTATTCTGTTTACAGTTATCCTCTGCTCGCCTTTTTCTCTCTCTCTCTAAAAGTTTGACTTTTTTACGCTACTTTTTTTCGTTTAAACAACTAAACATAAGCATGAAACATGTCTTCACTCAATGTTCTCATCTGTCATTCATAGGAGAACAGAATAAAAAGTTAAACATTGTTAAAAGTCTTGCCATATTACTTACTGAAAGGATTAGAATTGAACTTATCCCTAATAAGTAAGTATGTATATTTGTGAATTTGTCTTTATACACGTGCAACTATTTACAAGAAAAATTCATGTCTCATTGTGATAAGATGTAGACACTATTAATAACATTCGCAGATTTGTTACACGGAAACACAGATAAAAGCTATAACAAGCTAAATAATATATATATATTCCAACAATAATCTTTTTGGCGGCTTACCGAAATTTTATTTACAAAGTTTTGTAAATCAGAGAACATTAATCTCATCGTACATCAATCGTTTTGTTTAACTTGGAAAAGGAATACTTTTTTAATGAAGAGAACGCAATTGGTGCAATGAAAATATTTATTACTGCAAACAATTGTACCAGTGATTGTTTTATTGTACTCCTTTTGTTTAACTGTACTAAAAACCATTAATTGCGCGCGTCACGTGATGCTAACAGTGCTTCGGTGGTTGCTCCCACGTCTATTGTTGTAATCTCGATATCACTAGATCATCAATCAATATACCTTGACTTCTAATCACAGCTGGCCTTTTGATTTTTGACCTTAACAGGATTTAACTTGGTTATCTCACGATAAGTAGTTTCAATTCGCTACAAATCTTTGTGTTTATAATTTAATTTAATTTTTTATCTTTTAACATGCAAATAAGTGATAAACTGTATTTAATGTTTTCATATTCTACAAGCATATTTAGATTACTGATGGCATTCTCTCATTAACACATGATTCATCAAAATTGTACCGCATGAATTATTAAATGAATATAATGACCTTAGATTGTAAAAATACAGTGAATATTGAATAGAACAGAAATAAGGAGTATTATTTGAATAATAGTATACATGTATATATTTTTAAAAAATGTCGTGTAACACAGTGAATGAAAAAGAGTTTAAGATGGATGGTGCACAATATAGCTGATAGATTTCGCAAAAATATTTCAGCATTCATTTACAATCTGTTTCTGATTTTATCGTAACGGAAACAATCGTCAATTCATTGTCTGGTTCATTTATCTCCTTATCTATTCGTGGAATATGCACTACTATAATTGGAAGCAGTACAGGATATAATCAAGGCTACCTGTGTTAGTCTGTCTACTTATCATCTGACTTACTGTCTATCTGTCTGTTTAGATTGATACTTATCTTACAGTATGTATCCCAATACTAGGATGAAACATCAGTCCATTGCTTACTGGCTTTCAATAGTTTTCAAACTTAAATCATTTCATGATCTCATTAAAATTTAACACTTTCCACAACCATACACTGATAGTTATCCCGATATATTTGAAACGGTTGAATAAGAAAAATAATCATTACTAATTTTTAAATCAATTAATATGTGAATATTCTCTTATTGATTATACTACTAGACACTGTTTCTCTGTAATCCATTCTGGCAGATGATATACCAATTAAATTAGAAAGCTCATGTAACATAAAACTTGGGAATAACATTAACTTAACTTACTACTATTGATTAATTCAGAAATATTTCTCATCACAAATTAAAACTAATCATCTAAAATAACCTAAGCAGGAGTA